CCCCTCTCTCTCTCTCCCCCCCCCCCCCCCCCCCCCCCCCTCTCTCTCTCTCTCTCTCTCTCTCTCTCTCTCTCTCTCTCTCTCTCTCTCTCTCTCTCTCTCTCTCTCTCTGTGTACTTCTCCAAACCAGTGGAAAAGGAAAGCCCCAACCCAAAGTCTCTCTGAGTTTCTGTGTAGAAAAATTAGGGGGTTGTTGAAGATCATATTGTTGGTTTGGTTGTAGACTTCTTCAAACCCGTTTCCCTCTGCTACCAATTTCAATCTGATCTCAAATTCTCAGGTATTCATTTGGTTTGCAATTATTTGTTTTCAAATTTGAGAAATTGTTTTGATTTTGGTCCCCAACATCATTGATTTGCTGGTATTGTTCTTGAGCATTTATACTGGTGATTTGGGTGTTATATAGTTGTTTGCTTCAAAGGAACTTAAGGATTCCATAGGAGAAGGAGGTGTGGATCGTGAAAAGGTACAACACATCTGTAAGATCTACCATTTTAAAAAATCGTCACTGGGGTTGTGTTGTGAAAGCTTGTCCTAGTTATTTTGGAAGGAGATATGTAAGATTTTAATTTCTTTTTATGGTCTCCTTGGTTTTCCTTTTTCGTTTTTTATATATGCCTTGAGTTCCCTAATTTTGCATCATATAAACTATTCTATACGAACTGTTGTCATCAACAAGTTTGTTAAGGCCATGTGTTTTTGTCTGTGGACTAAATATTAAGTCTACAATAGTTAGTTTCGATAGCACAATAGTTTCGTATTGAAATTCTGTCTGATTACCTAAATACTAAGTCTGCAATAGTTGACCACCATTGAAATTCTGTCTGATTTTTGTATTAAAGAACCCTTGCTTTCTTGTGTGAGGCTGCAAATCTTAATTATTTTTCATCACTATCTCAAGTTTTATTTGAAGCCATTTTATTATTAGTGAGTTTTGCTTTGAGACTATGGAAGCTTATTTAACTTGATTCGTGAGTGTGTTTGCTATTTGATTATGTAATTCCTTAAGACGCACTAATCAGGATCTAATGCTCAATTTGATTTTGAGAGTTTCCTATACTTGTACATTGCTAATCATCTTCTGCTGCTCTAGATAACTTCTATGCTTGTCTTATAGTTGGACACCTTACAACCTGCAACATGCTACAAAAATTGTCTTTACAGGTTTCTAGAAAATTGTTTGTGTTTTCATGAATCTGAAACTGCTATTTGATGCAGCTTGTAGGTATATTTTTCTTGAATCTGCAGCTTCAACCTAGTCCAAAGCCCCAATTGGGAATTTGGAATGGTAAGAGGCCCCGAAACTTGTTTTTATTATTATTATTACTTTTGCTAAGCTTGTAACTAGGAATCTATTAATAATATCCATCTGATACTTCTGTTTTGTTCATGCAATCTGGATATATTGCTTCTTCAACAGGAACCTCACCATCACTTGAGATGGCACCACCACTAACACAATCTGCACCATATCCAACCCAATCTGTAGAAGGAGCAGTAGTGCTAGTGCCACCTCAAATTAAAAAAGATGATGATGACTCAGTACGTGAAATCAACTCAGAAACTAGACATAGAGGTGTGAAACGTAGTTGGGTTTGTGATCATTTTATTACATATGAGGACAATAAAAAGGAAGAAAAAAAAAAGACGCAACATGGAAGATTATAGAAGTTGAAGTGGTTCATAAGAGAGCAAAATGTGTCTATTGTCCTAAAGGTCCTTTAGGAGATTATGTTATGGATAGTGGGAAAAATGGGACAAGTAGAATGCTTAACCATATTAGAAAGTATTGCAAATATTACCCTGCAAATGTTGACAAAAACCAGAAGATAATTAGTAGTGATAAGAGTCAAGGTAACAAGCTTGTAGCCAGGGGGTTTGTGCAGACTGATGTTTTGGAAGCTTGTGCTAAGATGATTATTATAGATGAGCTTCCATTCAGTTGTGCTAATGTGAAGGCAACCTTTTGGGTACCTATGGTGGTTTAAAAACCTTTCATGTTATCATTTCCTTTTTCTACTTTCCAAGCCATTCACATTTAAACATAAATAGAATTTAATAAAAATATTTGGATTCAAACTAATTGCTTGGAAAGCAAAAGGGTTGGAAATGGGTCGGGTCGTGTCGTGTCGGGATAATAAACGTGACAAGAATGCTCAACCCGAACCTAACCCATTTAATAAACGTGTCGTGTCGGGTTCGGGTCGTCTTTTATCGTGCGGGTTTCGAGTCGTGTAACGGGTTCATAAATAATAACATGCATGTTCCAAAACTCAAAACTGAAAAAATTTAAATAAAAAAAAACGGTGAGAGGAGAGAAAATATAAGGAAAAAAAAGAAAAAAAAAGATAGAGAAAAGAGAGAAGAGAGAAGGAAAAGAAAAAAAAAATAAAGAGAGAGAGAGGAGAGAGGATAGAAGGAAAGACATTTATAAAAATAAAAAAATAAAAAATAAAGGAGAGAAAACTAAAGAGAAGGAAAAGATAGGAAAAAAAAGAGAGAGGAGAGAAAACTAAAGAGAAGGAAAAAAAAGAAAAAAAAAAAGGAGAGAAGAGAGAATGAAAAGAAAGAAAAAAAAGAAAAGAGGAGAAGATAGACAGAAAAGAAAGAAAACAAAAGAAGAAAAAGAAACATTATAGATATCAAAAGGCATAGTACATAATCACAAAGTTGTATATAGCATGATGGATAAGGTGTTGGAGAGGAATGAGGGTGGTGGGGGTTCAAAACCCCTAGTGTGTGTTTTGAAGTCTCCATTTCTCTTCATTTTTTCACGAGTTGGCTTGTATTACACGGGCTGACACGACCCGTTTAATAAACGGGTTAAACATGTGTTTTAACGGGTGGTGGGTTGACCCAAAAATTACCCAATTATTAATCGTGCTGGATCGAGTCGTTTTTTTTCCCGTGCAGGGTTCGAGTCGGGGAGGAAATTGCCACCTCTAAGCAAAACCATAAATACTTCATTCCAGAGAAATAATAAAACTTTTCCTAAATAAAATTCATTTATAAAACAAAAATTCATTCATTGAGCGTCCGAGCTAGCCTGACCCTTCGAGGGTCCTTCCAGCAGGTTCAATGAAGCCCGAGTACCTATTTAAGCAATTAAAACATTTAATCAATAAAATAACTCAACCACAATTATTTAATCAAAATCCTGACCCCCGGCCTCAAAATTGCGAGTATGTAACTTACGAAGGTTCCTAGGCCCATTTTCGACATTTTTGACAATAGAATGGTCTGAAAAGACTCGAGATTGAATAAGCGATTAAATTTCCATATTGGTCATTCTGGTCCCCGTGGGGTCCACGACCTTCAATCACCAATCCAAGAGTTCTTATAGGTTCAACACAATTTACTAAACATGCCTTGCAAGTTTGGTCCAAATCGAAAGGTCGGATCGCTTGAGATCGCACGATCGGATGATTATCGTTTACCTAAACTTTGAATTATTGAATCGGAGTATCCGGGACTCCAATTCTTGATCCATGAATTTCTACATGATCCTAGAGGTGCCTAAATCAACATATTTGTGAATGAAGTCGATCCAACAGTCAGAACATATCCAACCCAGATAACACCTAAGATGCAATATCCGATCGACAATCAAACGGTAACCAAAATGAAATCCGAGCATACTGTCGTGCTCGGGACGATGTGGGGATCATTTTAGGACCAAAGCCTAACCTTGACATAAGTGTTCCATAAACTTGTATACTAGATCCTTAATCTAATAAATTACAAGGTCTCAGTTAGTCATCATATGTTACCACATATGTTCTTGATAGTGTTCCACTAAATGGGAAAAATTATACCAATAACCTTATTAAAGCAAATAGCTTTTATATTTATAGCCTTGTAAAAATTGATTCAGATTATTTTGTTTTTCATTTTTCTTCTTGGAGGAGGCTTGAGAATATTGTCGAGCAGATATCCTCATAGCCATGCTTTATGTGTGCCCAAAAACAAAAAAAAAACTATGCTTTATGAAGTTTGGGTAAATGATGATTATAGCAATAAGTGAGCTACTGTGTGCATGTTTGTGAAATAGGTGAACGATCAAATAAGACTACAACTTGATATTGTAACTTAAATCTTTTTCAACTTTTTCAAGTGAAGAGAGTTGTGCTATCATTTTTCTTTAGAGTAAAGAGAAATAAATGAAAGAAACGATTGGTTAAATTGTACCAACAACTAATACAATGATTTTCAAGTCCATGACCAATCTACTGCACTAAACCCTCTCGTGCTGAAAACAAAGTTGATTGGTCCAAACCCCAATACCTGCAAATAAAACAATTACCATTTCAACAAGAAGCCTGATATTAATGAAATTGATGCCTGCATATTTCAAAATAAGTATTAATGTGATGTGATATATACCTTTAAAAATATAAACCTCTCCTGGCAAGGGCCTCAAACAAATGCGCTAAAAAACTTGACCTAAAACAATTTAGGGCATCATATGCTTCCTCATCAGTTGAGGGCTAGAAGGACATACAATAAAAATTAGAATAATAAAACTAAATTTAAATTGAAAGACAAAATAAATAGTAATTAGTTCAGTATACCGGGTGTGTGCCTATATTGCGGTTGTATTGAAGGAATGATAATGTAGTGTTTGTGTAGCTTTTAGGGACACATGTTGTAATCGGTTTGTTGGACTTTCTGTGGACATAGTGCATAATCTCATAGTAGGGGGTAATGTGCCTTATATGGAGGTGGACATGTACATATAAGGCACATCACCCCCTCTCCGTTGATCGATGTGGGATGTTACACTGGATGCTTTAATAATATTTGGCTATACAAATAACTACTATAATAGTGAGTTAAAAAGCTATTAAAAAAAGTAATAGTTGTTGCTTACATGTCGTTGTAGTTGCCTGCTAGGTATATCAGAAACATTGTTAACTCTGTAGGCACTTGGAGAGCAAGGAAGAAAGAATTGATCATTTGGATAAATTGAGTAACATCATCTCCTATCACTGGGCACATTTTTGAAAATTTCACACGGTTGTTTACAATATAAATATTTGTTGGAGAAATATTGCTCCCATGAGCGGCACGAGGAATGATATGGTTCAAAACATCCCTACAAAAACAACATTAAATAAAGCATTAATTTTTTTCTTGGCAAGAAATAAATTTTAAGTGAAGAAATATTTAAATAGACAACATATAATATAGCATTAATATTTTCTTAGCAAGAAATTTTTTTTAAGTGGAGAAATATGTAAATAGACAACATTAAATATAGCATTAATGTTTTCTTGTCATGAGTTGAAAGAGTATCATAAAAGCTAACATAGCAAAGCAAATAGTAAAAGTGGTGGGGAAACTTATATCTTTGTTCCTAGTAGTCAATTTTGAGCTCATTGCTTGTACTTTACTTTTCTCTTTCTTATCAAGTGGACTGGCAACAAGCATCAATAAATAAGAAAGAAGAGCACTGAAACAAAACAAAATTTGTCGGAACCCTTGAGTTATGGAGTGATTATTCAGATCGGTAAGTTGATTGTCATTAACCCAATCCTGAAGAGTATAATTAGCGGTCTCCGTGAAAATGATAATCCCGCCACTCAACAATTCAACAAAATGGAATACCTTGAGGTATTTTTCATTGTGGTAGTTACGTGATGTAGCTAACTATGACTCAGCTATATATTTTGTAGTTCGATCAAATATGTGATAGTTTGCATAATAAGTACCACCCTTGTAGTCTGTTATCGATCCCCGATATCTATTGTGACTTATAAGGATGCCTACTGAATAAAAGTAATTCACAATAACCCCCTTAGGCTGGAGAAAAAAAAATAGAATTAGATAGTAGAAAGAAAAGAGAAAAGCTAAACCAAAAAAAAAAAAAAATCAATTAATAACGGTAAAACAAATGAAGAACTTACATGTGGTTGTTGGAATTGGCCAGTCGAGATTTGATGTTGCATCTGCAAATAAGTAGTAAGTTATACGTTCAATTATAGTCTAGAAGTTGTTGCTTGCTATAGCGCTACAATGAGTTAAAACTTTGAACAACACAATTTACCTTTTTAGAAAGATGGTGGTGAGGGAGAATGCAGCAACCTAGCTTGTTACAATTTTGTGTCAATTTGTTATTGCACGTGCTATTGGAAGATGAAATAATTGTTAGAACATTGTTTGAACCATTAAACAAAAACAAGTCATTTGATCTCATGTTCATTGTGCGTGATGTTGGTTATTGACAAAAAACAAACAAAAACAAAAAGTATTAAGGACCCTTTGTACAATATTTTGGACCTTAGTATTTCATAAATTTGCAAAATTATATATATACTAAAACTAAATCTGAGTCGTTGTTCCTAGACTGTTCCTTAGGAATAGTAAAATGAGGATTTTGCCCTCAACTAAACCTTTTCACCATTTCCCTTTTTGCCCCGTCCCCTTTGCATTTCCTTCGTTTTGAACGTTTCACTCGCTTAGAAATTTCTTCATCGTTCTCATCGTTTCTTCCTATTTCATTCCATCG